ATCCTACGAAATTTTTTTGATTTTTAATTAATATATAAATAATTTTGATATATTTAAAAAAAATAAATTAATTACCATGTTGCATGCATGCTTTATGTCACATCACTTTGCAACCATTTTATTAATTTCAAGCTGATTTATACAAAAATTTAATGGCTGCTGGCTGTTTCTGCTTTATCTATTGCTGTTTTTTTTTTTCATAAGGAAAATGGTTAGATGTTAGTAAAATTAAAATTATTAATGAAAGATATTAAATTTAAAGAAGGGTGTAATTCATTGGGTATCTTTTTAGACAACAGTGATTGTAACTACAGTTAAAGAACGTTAGAAAAAATGAAAATTAAACCTCACATTTAAAGTAAAATGTCCTTTAATCAATTATTAAATCATTGCTTGCGCCACACGGGCTTTTTATCTATTGCTGATGATTGTTCTAGATTAGCATTAAAGAAATGATTGCAGAATATTTTATAAATATTCCACAGCCTCTTGATTATTCACTAATCATAACCCCATAATCTATTCACAATTTTTTTTTTTTGAAAATATATAATCTATTCACAATTTAAAAACAAAGCAACTTGACAAATTACAAATTAAAATTATATCAGACTGGCAAAACCCACGGCAATGAAATAAACTATTTGAATTAATCGTTTCAAGTTTCCAATTTTATTAATCATGCAACAACAAAACCAAGATATTCCAACTTTTAATTCAGAGAACACAACAAATATAATTATAAAAACAATCTTAGATCCTAAATTTATGTATAACATGCTTTGATAAAGATCAATATATGTAAAATTTAAGATATTTAGATGAAACAAAATAAATAACCTATGTACTTAAATTTTTATAATCAATATATTAATCAAAACATCATTGAAAATTATCATAATTTTATTTTGTAAAACAAATAAATTAATATTGAAGCTTTTGAGTCTCTCCTTCCCAACTCAATTTTTATAGAGTGACAATTAATAATTCTTAATTCTATTATTTATAATACTAGAGTTTTTGGAATATGGGAGGGAATATAACTCATAATATAATCTTTTAAATTCTGTGCAATTTTAAAGTAACAAACAGTTTGCTCCCCGTTAACCATTACTTGTCAGACATCTAATCCATTTTTATTTTTTTCACAGCTAGCCTTTAGTGGGCCTCACCAGTGCCGCATCAATTGACCTTGATGAGTCCGTAACCGTAAACGCAACCGTCACCCGAATTTCTCCTCTTAAGTGTGATTTGGGATGGGCAGACAGACAAAGTGGAAACTCTCGAGGGAGTAACTAGTCAATGGATGAAGAAAACTTCTGAAACTGAAACAGAAATACCATCTCCATGTCAGTTTTCTGTTGTATCATTTCATGGTACCACCGTATTAGAGGATCACAAAAAGCAAATCAATACAGGAAATCAAAATTTTTAATCGTATCCATGGGTGCCTATTGTAAAATTTGAATCTCATCTTTAAACAAAAACAATTTCAATTATTCACAGTAAAATCATATTTATTTTAAAAATAACAATTTCAGTTATTCATATCTTGTATCTCCATATCAACTATGCATATTACATAACTAAACTACTCATTAGAGAGGTTTTAGATCAGAGATTTGGACTAATACAACAATAAATTTAATTATCTTTCATTTCACAATAAAATTAATAAGAAATGGGCAATAAAATATATAATTCAATAAAAATACTAGAAGCAAACCATCCAGTGATCAAAAAATGAGAAATGGACATCATAATAGGTGAGTTTAAGTTTATATATTAAAGGTATTAAATTCAAATAAGTCAGATTTACTCATTAAAAATCACACGTTTAAATGTTAAAAATCTAGTGCAGGTGGGAGTGGTGTGGAAAATAGAACCATCACCTATGAAAAAGGGTTTGGGAAATGAGTTAGGATCTATTTGTAATGGTGTAAGTGATATATTGAGTTTTACAATATAATAGAAAGGTTAACCATCTTGAGCTTGAACTCAATTGCAAGGCTTGTTTACCAAAACGAGATAATTTGCAAGTTTTTGTATATAAGAAGAAATTGCAAATAGATCTCAACAGATTTATATTCTAGATGTAAACCTAATTTTAATAATGGAAGTTGTCCAAAGATAACAATATGACAAAAATTTCAACGCCATTTATTATTTATTATAGTGTAGTATTAATATAAATACCAAATTTATTGTGCCCATTATGTTACTAACTAATCCTCATCTTCTTTTACCATAAAAAAATGGAATGAACTGTTTTTGCCCATATAATGCCACTAACTAATCTATGTTTTTACTTTTATTACAAAATTTTACCTTATTTAACGACTTTTTCCTTATTGAGAAGGGGAAGAGATCCTATCTCTTTTTCTCTTTCTTTTGACAAAATAGAACCCTAAAATATAATTTTTTTTTCATTGTTTTTAATTTTTGATTATAATGTTAGGTGGCAAGGAATTTGGAATTTGCGTTTGATCCTTATTGTGCTAGGACTAATTCTTATCTTCTCCAATCAGAGAAATTTGGGATCAATTATGTGGTAGTCAGATGTACCAAAAAATTATATGGTAGTGAGTGATTGTTATCTTCTCTAATCATGGAGCTATTTAAACAAAAAAAAATTAATATATCTTTTATTTTAATATATTTTATAACATATTTATTAAAAAAATATTATTTTTAAATTTAAATTTATGATAAAAAAATTTTTAAAAATAACTTTTAATAATTGAATTGAAATGTATTGTATAATATATTAAAACAGATAATATATTAATCATTGTTCTTAAACAAAATATGATATATCCTTTGATTAAACCTCAATTAATTACTTGTTTAGTTACATTTACCCAAAAAAAAAATTTCTTAAGTTACAAAAAATCATGCCCAAAAAGAATCATGTGCCTCTTAAACATGATATGACACAAACAGATGGTTACATAAAAAAAGAAATCACTTTCTCATAAATTAGACTATAATTATATAAAGTTAACAAAAAAATACAAAAGGAGGTTTGATTTTTTATTTTCTCATAAATTAGACTATAATTATATAAAGTTAACAAAAAAAATACAAAAAGAGGTTTGATTTTTTATTTTTAGAATATAGAAACAAACTCAGTGGACTTAAACCGTACAACACACGTAAAATTAAGAAAAAACCAAAAGAAAGCTGATCAGCAAGCGACATGATCATTTTCGTCGAAAAAAGGAGCAAGTTAAGCCCTTGTCACAAGTTTATGAGACACACGAAAATGGAAAAATTACTAGTCAATAGAATGTAGTTTAAGGTGGTGCTGACTAGTCAATAGACAATGAACAAATTGTGATAAATCACACCCAACTGCAATAAAGAGTCTATTTCAATTATAAAGATTGCTTTTTGAAATAAATTAAGGTAATTTTTACGAATATTTTTACATATTATGAGAAATAAAAAATAATTTATCTAATTTGTATTGATATATTAAATATCTAATTTTCAAAAATGAATGCACGAGCTAAAAAAATTCAAAAATAAAAATTTATCTAATTTGTATTGATATATTAAATATCTAATTTT